AAATCAAATAATAAAAGCACTCTACAACTACTTGAGTGAGAAAAACCAAAATTTTTCCTTCAGCAACTTCCGCTAGAAAAATGGCCAAGTGATCAGCAGGTGAGAAATGTAGTCGATCCCCTTTTTAAGTTTAAATTTTATTTATATAAAATTATAATTTTATTATAAAAATATATTAAATTATATTATACATAAAATAGTTTTATAAATTCCTTTAAAAAATATTATATTTTAATATAAATTTATTATTTTTTTTTTTATAAGTAATTATTATAATTAAAAATTCATGGAAATCTATAAAAAATCCATGGAAATATTATGGAATATTGAATTTTGGCATTTCGTCTTTTAATTTTAAATGTCTAAACTATTTCGGTTTAGTCAAATGACTAAATATTTCAGTTTTGCCCAGGATCTCTAATTCATATAGAGCTGCCATTTTACATTATTGTTGATAACTCCAAGATTCATGATAATAGTTCTAACCCAATATAAGCTGTAAGAAGTTCAGGCGAAATTAAAAACCTTAGTAATATCTTCATAAAACATCTAAAAGTCCTTTTACTATCACTTAAGGCAAAAAGTTCTTATATTTTTCATCCAAAACTTCTTGGGAAAAATGGATAAAGCCCAACGGGAGAGAAAGTATGATAATTGCTCAAAATAACTTTTTAGCAAATTGGCCTAAATTTCAAAAAAAAAATCACATTTTTGCGATTATCTTGGCATCTAGTAGTTCAATTTATGTGAACTTTTTTTGTTTTGTAGCTCTCATTGAGTTCTACAAAATAAAAAAAAAATCTGCATAAATCAGATTACTAGATGCTGAAATAATCGCAAAAAACTGAAAATAAAAAAAAAAGCAAATTGGATTTTTTTTGGCAAAAAGTCAGTTGTAAGTTTTATAAGAGATATCTAGAGTTCTAAATTAACTGTATATAAATTTTAGCATTTAGGTTTAATAATAATATACATTTACATTGTTTATCTATATATATATATATATATATATATTTTTAAATACTCCTACTTGAACAAATCTAATCAGTTCAACATCCTTAAATTTGAATTATAATTCTATAGGATAAACAGTACTATATAACTAGAAAAAAAAATGTTAATACAACAAAAAACTTATAAAAGAAAAAGAATTAACTAATAAGTAAAAAAAATTTCTAATTTCTTTTTATAAAACCAAATAAAAAAATAAAAAATAAGAAATTGATTTCTTATATGACCAAACTAATAATTTTTTAATGTTTATAATCTATCCATTAATTTTGTCAGAATTTCTCTTAATTCTATTACTTTTTAATATAATTTTTGCTTGAAAATTTTAGAGTTCTTTTTTTTTTATTTTTTTATTTTAACTTTACATTCTGATTAAGAAGCCCTTTTAAAATTTTGTCTTTCTTGAATTTATACTTTTTATCTTACTTATATGTATTTAAAAAAATCCTATTAACTTCTGTAATAACAGAATTCTTTTTTGAAGGTTTTGTAAAATCTTTAAAACTGATAGGTTTTTTTGCTTTTTTTTTAAATTTTTTGTTAAAGTGTAGAGAAGTATAATAACACTAATTGTATAATTTATCTTCAATCTCAAATTTTTACTTATTAAATTGCTGAAATTTTTCATTTTTTAAAATAAATGATAATTTTATATTCTGATGATAATCTTAAAGGATTTGTATTTATTAATTGATATTAAAACCAAATGGAATTAGTTATTAAAAAATAAAAAGCCAGTTGTAAATAAGTTAAATACTTTATATAATGCAGCTTAAAATCTCTTTTTTTTTGTTTATAAAGAGACTAGATAGCAAAAAACTACCTAACTGAAATATTTTTTAGTAATACTATCCTACTGATTTTAATACTACTATACGTTTGTACTATAAAAGTTTACATTGTTAATTTATCTCAAATTTAACTAGTGTTCTACATGAATCAATTCATAATATAGTGTGACATATACTTTTCGTCAAAATGACAAAATACTAATTAAATTTATTTTGACAGACGTAATATATTTTGACAGACGTAATTAATTCATAGTAATTTTATAATAAATAGTGAATTAGTCTGTTCACCGAAATATGACATAATTAATTAGCGGAGAAGTATAGTGTGACAGAACCCCGCTTACTTATAATAAAGGTTACTGTATAAAATTGGCCCTTTACTAATAGTTTTTACCTTACTTTTTTCTTAAATTCTATTGGTTAATTAGTTAAAAGGAAAAAAATTATAACAATGTAACATAAAATTTCCTTTTATAGTAGGATCTGCAAAGAATTTTATATATGATTTTTACCTTAGGCCTGGGGGTAACCTATCTTATAAGTAAGCAGGGTCCTAGTATGATCCTGATTAACTCCAAAAGATAAAAATGTATTTGTTAAAAAAAAAAAATCATTGAAATTATATTACTAAATTTTGAAATAATATTTTTTGAAGATTAAATCAAATTTGAGTTAAATTTTAATTGAATCAAATCTTAAATGAAAAATTTGATTCATGTGAAACATTAAATTTAATTTAAATAGTCATATATTTTTTTTGCTTTATAATTTTTAGAGAAATAACCATATCCTATAATTTAAAATATTGCAATAATTCTGTATTCTTTCAGATCAAAAAACATTGATTATATATTAGAATATTATTGATATTAGTCAAGTTTTATTCTATTGATTGATATTCAATGATGATATATGCAGTCTTTCTTTTAATAATTTTATTAACTTTAGTATTAGAGTAAAGTGCATGGTGGATATATTACTAATTTACTACCTGTTATAAAGGCCAGTTTATCCACTTTCTGCTTTTATGAAGTTTTATTTATTATGTAATTGATAAATGCAGCTTTTTTAGTAGTTTGTTTTTTCTTTTTACATATGCATCTGAATTTAATAACTGGTAGTATAGGTGATTCCTTTGTAAAAGATGGTATTAATGTTAATTAGTATGTTAATTCAGTTAAAATATTCTTATCTAGTAATTAATTTAAAATTTCAGCATATTTTTTGTCTATTATGAAACTTATATTAGCTGCTTCTAAGGCTATCTAATTGGTATTTTTAAAAAATACTGGTATATTCTTTAAGTACTGCAGTAACCTGTTTAGCAAAATGCAGATAGAATTTTATTAAAATGGTTATGTATATATATATAATATACTATATTTCTTATACAATTGCATTATCAGTAATTAATAGTCTTTGAATTCATTTTAAAAAGGTTCTCTATAGTTTGTTGATAGGTCCAAAGATATGAAACCTAAAGTTGTTAAACTATTCAAGTTGTAAGTGATTATTAAAATACTTGTTAAAAGAAACTTAAGCTTCTAAAACCTTCTATTTGTAAACCAAGTTGTAACTTTACTATATTACAGCAGGTGATCAAAAGTATATGGACACCTTGTTTTACAAAATTATATAGATTACCATATGGTCATATGATATGAATAACACATGATTTTGAATTTAGGATTATGATAAACAAATGCACTTAATTTTTTAGACTTTCCTTTTTTAATTAATTTTTTATCAAACATGAAATCATTTGCACTAAATTCATCAAAAACATTAAGATTAGGAATCTAATTTTAAACTTATTGAAAACCTCTAGCAGATATAAAAACAATTATTTACCCACTTCCTGATATACTTTACTATTATTTTAACTTGAAAAAAAATAATAGAAAATGCACAAAAAAAACATTTCTTCAGAATATTATAAGAAAATTAATCAATATGATGTATGAAAAATTGAAGTAATTATTGCCATAAATTAAATTATTAGCACCTATATTTTATGTAATTCAATAAATGAAGATAAAATAAATATGTTTCTTTATATTTTCAGTTTTATTTTATATTATATGTATGAGAATTTTTTTAATTTGAGAGGTGTCTGTATACTTTTGATCGCTTGCTGTATGTATATATTATATAGTTGTCCAAGTCAACTTTTTCCTATAAGTTTTCATCAAAAAATAACTTCAATTTTTCTGAGAAATTTTGAAAATGGGATCTATAGGTGAGAGAATTTTATTTAATGATTTATTTATATATACAGTATAAAGAAAAGGTTGCATTTCAGTTAAAGTATTTTATATTAACTTATATAAGTAATTTTTTTTAAAAAATATATTGATTCCAAATTTTATTTTATTATTTAATACAATACAATATTCAGAATTATTCAAAATTAGTATTTAAATATAAAACCTATTAATTATGATTCATAATTAATATAATATCAATTAAATCATTAAAAAAAAAAAAAAGAAAAAAAAGAAAAAAGATTCATAATTAATATATAATATATATTAATTATTAATATTAATTAATAAAGCCACAATATTTTGAAGTTTTAGGTAAAGCTTTATTAACAGCACATAAAAAAAGATTTTTTTTTGACTTTAGGCAAAAGTAAATTTTACTTTTTAGTACTTGAAATTTTTATTTATACTAAATGTCCTAAATCCAATAACAATTGGACAGCTAACTTGTGATGGTTATTTAGCGTTATATTTATTTTATGAAATTGGGAATATAAAATTTTCGATTTTCGCGTGCCCATTTTAATTTTAATTGTGACCGGTAACTGATATAATTCAACTTACAATAATGAGTCAAAAAATATTGCTTATACAGTCATGAGGTCAACGATCAGCCGATTTTCAATATTGCAAGCCACGGCGACCGTAGTGTCGTTACAAATTTAGTTTAAATCTATTGGCTACAATGGTTTTGCAAACAATCTGCGAACCATTTTAAACCCTTTCTGACCTTCCCCTTGACTTAAGAAAATCAAAAAAACGACTAAACGACAAAAAAGACACTCGAAAGACCGTCAGAGCAGTTGGCTTGACTCAAAACTCAAAACTTCTCTTTTGTCGATTCACATTAAGGTAACTTTAATAAAGAGTTAACTGATCATTTAAACAAATCTACTATGGTTAATTTTTTATTTGATTGCTATAATGCAGTATGGAGCCTACACCTTCTTCTACTCAAGAGGATACGCTTGCTGGTGATTTAAACTATAGTTCAAGTTCAAACCATTATGTGTCATTTTCAACTCCTCCTCGCCATTCCGTTCGTTGCCCTACATTAACTTCCTTTCTTAATCAGCTCAATTTATCGCAATATCAAGGTCTATTCGTTGATGCCGGAGTCGGAGAGAATGACATTGAACAGTTACTTGGATTTGACGAAGCGGAACTCAAAGAAGTTATGTCTGCAATATCTATGAAGCCTTTTCATTCTGCTGCGTTTAAAAAAGGTATTAGAGAACTACGACAAAACTTTTCATCAAATACTCCAATGTTATCTTCAGGCCATTCTTATACACCTTTAACATACTCAACACCTATCGTAAGTACTTTATATAGTCATATTTTATTCATTTAATTAGTTTCTAAATAATATCCTTGATTAAAAAATAATTTAGTCTCCTGTTGAGCTTCAACAGGGTTCTTTAAGTCCACCACGTAAACTAATAAATATCGCTCCAGCAAAAGATAAGATACCTATGTACATGGAAAGAATTGACAAACCTATATCAAGTACTTCAAATATTGTTTCTACAAAGTTATCTCCTACAAAGTCAATCCATAATCCGTTGAGCAATGAATCTTCATATTTGCATCAACAAATGCAAGATGATGTATATATGGAACATGAGCCAACACATCAAGATATTCATTCTGTAAAATCGGAGCCCACAAATATGGTTTCAACAGAAAGCCAAAGTTCAATGACAGTCAATACTTCTGCAGCTTCAAAAGATGTAATTATACATCATGCGACTATTTACGGAAAGAATAGTCCAAGACAATTGACTTCATATGAACAAGCCATCAATAGCGCAGCTATTGAGTTAGCTCTTCAAGATCCAACTTTAGTAGCTAACAAAGGAGCTTTATTTGACAAGGCTAAAGCCAAACTGTTACTCGGAGGCTATAGTTACAAACGTGGTGCGTCACGTTCAAAATTAAATCCGAATGCCCCTAAACCGGGCTCGAGAGCATCACGTGCAACTCTTCGTGCCAAGAGAAATGCACACGCTGCTCAAAATAGCGAAAACAGAAATGCGAGAATTGCAGAATTAGAACGTAAATTAAAAGTTAAAGAGACACAGTATGAACTAGCTATAGAACTTGTGAGAGTTAAATCAACACATAATGATTCTGAAGCTTTAGAAAAAGCACAAGTATCATTAGAAGAACTTGAAAAAGAGAGAATTGAAATTAATAAAGAGCTGACTACTTTGAAAAGTAAAGAACGTAAGCATCGATGGTATGAGCAAAAGAAAAAGGAAAGAATGGATTCTGGATTTGACGAAGTTGATGAATCTTCAAATAATAATAATGGACAGCGGGAACCAGAACACGAGGATTCTATAATAGAAGATGTAGAAGAATAAAGAGATATTGGAGAACTTTTAAAAATTTTCTCTTTCGAGAAACATCTTTGCTTTTTGTATATCGCGGGCCTCGTTTTACTATCATATGTATATATATTAAAATTGAAATATTTTTCTTTTAGGTTTTTGGGGTTCCAACCTTAATCTTTATAAAATGTCGGAAATTATATTATTTAATTGAACCTGAAATTATAAAATAAATCCTGGAAATTTAGGCGGTCCATTAATAAAAGAATTTATCTTAATATATTTGCTATCATAATAATATCTTTCCCTAGTTGTTCATATTTTACACTTTCCAAATTTGGAAATGTATTTTCAGCTTCGTTTCCCTAAAGCAAAATTTTTTTTTAAGCAATTGTAATATTTCATATTTAATGCTATACTTATATAATCATAGATACCTCAATCGTTTTTCTGTTGTCGCCGGTAGCAGATACTGCCTCTGGACCAACAAATACGGGAGCAGTGGTTACAATTAACAAATCTATTAATTCATTTTTTAAGAAAGATTGTATAATTCTCGCACCACCTTCTACCATTAGGTGTTTAATTGAGAAGGGTTGAATATGTAATATTGATAATAAATGCGTAAGTGAAAGTTGACCTGCAATTTATTGAATATTATGGCAATAAAAATTAAATTTGTATTATAAATTAATTAACGCGTGGAAAGATATGAAAAGTTACCAATTTGATCTGAATCGATAGGTATAACTTTTGCACCCAATTGTTCTAAAATCTATTGTAAAGGTATAAAAAACATAAGATTTGTATAGAAAATATTTAAATAGATGAACTACATACAAACCTTTCGTTTTTCGTTGTCACAATTATGACTGGTAAATATCCAAGGTGATTTACATTCATTAGATGTTAACAATTTAGCCGAAAGAGGAAATCGTAATTCGGAGTCCAGAATTATAGGCTGGGGTTGATTAATTTTTGACTCTTCACCAATTTCCAATAACCTCGCTAATTATTAAAGAATAGTTAGATCGAAAGGTAAATATTAGAAAAGAAAAAATAAAATACCTGTTAGTCTCGGATCATCGTTTATGATTGTACCAATTCCAACCATAATTCCATCATGATAAGTCCTCAGTCTAAAAAAAAACTTTGATTTAAATAATAGTCTCTTTAAAAATCTACCCTTTTACATACCTATGAGTCATTATCATTGATTCTTCGCAGCTTAAGCGAAGTTGTTTCCCACCTTTTCCAGATATTTTACCATCTAAGCTTTGAGCGTATGTTAGAGTAACAAACGGTCTATTATTGCTTAGGAATGTTTCATTTGAGTAATAGGGAGATAAAAATGATTTGACTTTTTCATGAATTGACATTTCTGTGCCGATCTAGTCTAATCAAACATTTGATTAAATAAATGATATAAATGGTCATGATCTCATGATCATGAAATTTTTGAGATTAGATATTTTTTTTTTTTTTTAAGACAAAACCTTCGCGACTTTCATTTTTAAAATGGTAAATTATATAATAATTAATTTTGTTTGTATATAATAATTATTATTTACGAAAAAAAACATTATAAGGCCTCGCAAATTCACTTACAACCAGATCCAATAGAATTCGATAATCAAATTTTCGATTTAGCATTTCACCCATCTGAAAATATCGTTGCAACAGGATTAATAACTGGAGAAGTATTCTGGTACCTTTTAAAAAACGAGAAAAAAAAATGAAAAAAACCTCTATTCATTCTAACTTTTCTATATTTAGTCATCGATATACAGTTGATAATACAAATGAAAATATAAATGTGTTGTCAATTCGTCCACATAAAAAATCCTGTCGTGGATTAGAATTTAATCATGATGGTGCTTGTATGTTATATTTATTTTTTTAAGAAAAAATATATCCAGTATATGATATCATTAAGAAAATTTCTTTTAATTATTTAAGCTTTGTTTAGTGTATCAAAAGATAGATCAATACAAGTAATAAACCTTGAAACTGGTAAAATTTTCGTAAAGAAAGCTGATTCGCACGAGTAAAGTATTTTTTTATGTTATCGTCATATCATCGTTCAGCAATTAAAATTTCTAATTTTTATTTACAATTAGTTATCCGATTAATTGTATATTACGATTAAATGAAACTACGCTAGCAACTGGAGATGATAACGGAATAATCAAAGTACAATTTAAAGAATTAATAATATATTTAAAATACTTCTTTCTAAAAAAAATTTTATATTTAGTTATGGGATATAAGAAATGGAAATGAAATTATGAAATACTCTGAACATCTCGATTTCATTTCTGATTTTGCATTTCGTTTAGATACAAAAACTCTTTTATCCACAAGGTACGTTAAGTTCTTTCCTTTATTAAAATATTCTTTAATATTCATTTTAAAGTTCATTTTTATTAAAGTGGGGATGGAACATTATCAGTATATGATATTCGCAGACCGGGTTTAGTTGCAATGTCAGATAACCAAGATGATGAATTACTGTCTATCGCAGTAGTCAAGGTGAATATCATTTTAAATGTATGCATATATGTCACTGTAATCTTATCAAATCCTTCACATCTCCCTCAGGATGGAAGAAAAGTTGTAGTAGGAACGCAAGAAGGAATAGTGAATTTATATACATGGAATGATTGGGGAGATACATCTGATAGAATCATAGGTCATCCACAATCAATTGATACATTAGTTAAAATTAATGATAATTTAATTTGTACAGGTTCTTCTGACGGTATTGTTAGGCTTGTTGGTATATTACCAAATAAGTTTTTAGGTGTAATAGGAGATCATGACGAATTTCCTATTGAATGTTTAAGATTATCTCATGATGATAATTTATTAGCGAGTAGCTCTCATGATAATACCGTAAAATTTTGGAATATAAGATATCTTTATGAAGAGGAGGAGAATGGTGATGACAAAAATATTAATGATAACATGGATATGGATGAAAATCCAAGCAGAGGCGGAAGTAGAAATAATGGAGTAGGAAAAAATATAGGCAACGAAACAAATTCATTTTTCGCCGATTTATAATTAATTAAACATTAAAACAAGTAACTCTATATTGACTAAAAATCTTTATTAATAAATACTAAAAATTTTTGGTAAAAAAATTTTTTTTTTTCTCACTCGACAAGAGTTAGTTCTCTTACTCTATTTGTTGCATAAATATCTTTATATTCATCCCAAATATTATATAATTCTTTAATATATTTCTCTTGTACTTCGCGAAGTTGTTCTTCTGTTGGATTTTCGATTTTTTTAACTTCAATTGGTCTTCCGACAATTGTTGTGATCGGTCTCCTGTGAGGTAAAACACCATAATCATCTGAAAAAAACATCACATTAATAAATAAATATAGAAATTTATTCCACTTAAGTTTCACTTACAATTAAAGACACCACGGCCGTGAAATAGAGGCATTGTCCAACCAGATAATTTTTGTATTGTCTTTTGGACCTTCCAAATTTTGCTTCCTTTTGGATTATCAGCCTGGTCCCATATATCGTTTTCTCCAAAAGAAAATACAGGACACAGACAGGCACTATTACACAAATACATAAAGAAAATAAATTTTCATTTGATAGAACATTTATAAAGAAAATACCACTTTCTTTGACTTACCCATTACGAACAGCTAATTTAATAAAACCTAATCTTCTTTTTAAAACTAAATCATAAACACCAGGACGCGCATTTAAACTCTCACCAGCACCACCAACTACAATTATAATAGAATGTCCAGGGCCTTTCTTTAAAATATTTTCACATGATTGTCTTGATACTGAAGCGCATCCTTGGGCCATTAAATAATCACGATAAAGTGGGATATTGAAATTAGATGTAAGAGTTAATAATCGACATGTAATTCCAGGAAATACTTTAGAAAAATTGTTTGCTTCTGTAGCAAAATTTGTCCACGCTCCAACTGAAATAACTCCATGTGGATGATATCCAAACACGTAATTTTTTGATGGATCTAAATCTGCTTGCTACATAAACATAATAATATAATTAGCTTATTTAACTATCAAAATTTAGAATTAATTTTATACGAACCTTAATTAGCTTTATCGGAAAGTATTCAGAATACCATTTCCAGAATTTAGCCCTTCGAGCAAACTCAAATCTCCTTCCGCCATTTTCTGGTGCAATATCAAAAAGCACAAATAATAGATAAGCAATAATCCAAGGCAAAAAGAACACTATTGTACAAGTTATGAAGAAAAAAAAAAGCGTTGTCGGTAAAGAAACTAGCCACAACGCAACCGCCGCTGTTTGACGTCTTCTTATAAACGGTACATTAAATGGTGCTAAACGAACAAGAGGTGTTTCTGAACTCTTCGTAGCGGTATTATCTGCCATTCTTCTTTAATAAAAATGAGAAATAAATAGAAAGGAATGTTATTTAATTAAAAGGTTTTTTTACTCAATAATAATTAATTTTTTGTAATTTGAAAAACGAGACTTTTATAGATAAAAAAGGACATCTTGCTAAATATCAATCGTAATACAAAAAATTCCAGATTAGGATGTTAACCAATTGATAACTAAATCTCTCATGAATGCCCATATAAGAGTAAAAAGCAGGTGATTATCAACGAACAAAAAGGGGGGTCATGTTTATTTATTTTCCTAAATCGGATTTCACGTGACTACTGCGCATTCATATTGGTTATGAACAACGTGACGAAAACAAACACTTTCCACGAGACCAATATCTTCAATAGAGACAATATATATCGTTTCTTTTTATCATACGCTTCATATTTAGTGAACCATGCCTCAAGCTAATTTAAGGGAACAAACGCGATCGTCAGCCGTCGATTCAAACTCCGCCGCAATTGGAGAGTCAGATCAACAGCTTGGCGAAGCGCAAGGCAATAGTGCCGTCGCAGGACATTCACGATCCGCGTCTGGTTCTCGTGTAGAATGGGATGCTATAATGGAAATAGAATTTTGCCGGGCCATTATGAAGAATAGGCCAGTTGGTAAGTAACAGAACTTACTTTAATTTCTATTGTTGCTATAAAATTCTTATGTGAATTATAGGTATCCATAGACATTTTCGTATGGTGAACATACATCGCGACTTTAACGCAAATAGTCCAGTAAAATGTTCAATACCGGAACTATGGGAACAATTTAGTAAATATTATAATATAGAAAAACTTGAAGAATTAGTAAGTAATAAATGTACGTCGATATATTTTTTCATTTCATTAACTAATTACTATTGGTATCTTTTTAGGAACGTGAATTTGATGATGAAGGTGATGAGGATGGCCCACATGCAGAATTCACTCTACCTATGGAAGAATATTATAACCTCATCGCTGAACATCGAAAAGCTGGTTCTTCACGCGGTGCTTCACCCTCACCAGCACCTTCAAAATCTCAAAAAGGAAAAAGAGAACCTTCTTCAACTCCATCACATACTGCTTCAATTGAGACTTCACCTGAACCTGAAGGTTATGTATCAGATGATAATATAAGAATTTATATTTTTATTACATTTTTCACTCAAGCTTTATTCTTTTTGACAATATGTAGATACAAAGAAAAGCAGAAGAACGAGGAATGCAAGAAAATCAGATGCTTCTGAAACCGTAAGAACACCTGCACCAGCAAAGCGCGGTAGGGCTAGAAAGACATCAGATGCTATACCAACGTCAACTGGACCTTCCAAACGTGGTGGTCGCAGAAAGCAAAAGTAATTTTTCCAAAAGTATATATACATTGCACAAACTAAAATTTATAGATTAGGCATATAAGGGCTGGATTTCTGAAAATTGCCTAGTTTAATTAATATAATTAATATATACGTAATGTGCTATGTATGTGATGTTGATTGGTATATTTCATAAAATACAATCTATATGTATATAATAGTTATTGGTTAGGGGGTAAAATATCGGTCACCCCGAAGGGGTGACACGATATTTTATCCAACATAACCAATAACTAGATTATTGCGTCAGTCACGCAAGATCATGCTATTATTATAGTAAGAGTATAACTAAACTGCAAATATATTTGATATTTAGCCATCAACAAAAAATATCAGTCCGTCAAAATCTGCATGATCCTATTAGACTGACCAATAAAATATAATACAAGTTCTGATATATAAAATATAATCTAGAGGATTTAAATATGACTAATGAAAATAAAGATATTAAAATCTAAAATTCGAGAAAATTAATATACTATGCAGATCTCGTTTTAATCTAATACCCCCTCAAATTCTTTATAAATTATTCGCAAATCAGAGAATCAATCAATTTGTTTTACTAGAGAGTAAGTCTAAATTACTGACGGACGCGTCGTAAAAATTATTTGATAAATAATCATGGAAATGATCAACGGATTTTTACTGATTACATAAAAATCATATTTTGACATTTTTTCTTAGCAAAAAATTTATGTCTAATACGAATATTGTCGATTCAAGCATAGCTGCAGTGATTTCTAGATTATGTACACATCCTCGTAAGTTTGATAATATGTTTTTATCGTCATTTGATAAAATAATTTATCTTTTGTATTCTTACAGTTGACACCATTCGCGTTCGTCTTCAAGCAAACACAACAAATACGTTTTCACGTTCAAACGGCAAATTAGTTAATAATTTATTTATTCAATTAATCCGAAAAACTCCGATTAAAAGTTATTATAATGGACTTGCAATAGCAGCAAGTTTAGGTATACCAGCATTATCCTCTTATCTTTTCGTTTATGATAAAACAAAATATTTTTTATCGAATAGACTAAATATTAAAGATACCAGCGCGTTAAATTATATGGCAAGTGCAGCTATAGCAGAAATATGTAGTGGAGTGTTTTGGACCCCAATGGAAGTTTTAAAAAGCAAATTACAAACTTGTGGTACGAGCAATGAAATGAATAGAATCAATACTTTACAAATGTCAAAATTAATTTTAGAAAATGAAGGAATTAAAGGTTTTTTTCGCGGATATTTACTATCTTTAGTTGTTTTCATACCACATACAATGATTTATTTTGTATTGTATGAAAAATTTAAAATATGGACAAAAAGCGAGAGAAAATTAACAAACAATGACTATTTAATTAATTCAGCAGCTGCATGCTCGATTGCAGGTTCTATTTCTAATGTTTTAGATATTATTAAAACTAGATGGCAAGTTTCTTTCAGTAAGGAAACTCCTTTAAAGATCATGAAAAATATGTATAAAAATGAAGGAGGATTACGCGCTTTTACTAAAGGCATGGGGGCTAGAGTGCTATGGATGGTGCCAAGTTCCTCTATCAGCATGACGATATACGAAATTCTAAAAAATAAAAGAAAAAGAATTTCATCTTAAATTGTCATATCAAATAAAATCTTTTAATAGATTAATTAATCAGAGTTATCAGATTGACTACACTTTACTAGTCTGATAACAAGTGTCTTTTGGGGACGTTAGCCTAAAAGTAGTTATACTATGCGAACTTGCGAAGCACTTCCGACAATGACGACATCAAAATAAGCTATTTAGAAATCATAAAAATGGAAGACATTAGATAAATAAATTTTAATTTTAATTTTTGTAAGATGATCAAAAAAATTTTGAAAATTTGGGCAAAATTATAAAATTTACTAGTAGGTTAGGTTAAATCAGGTTAAAATTAGTCAGTCTTATATATTAGACAATTACTTACTATAATTTTTAATAATACTTATTATAATTATTATAATTAGTATATTATAAATTTTACATAAAAGTGCCCATTATACTTTCTATACTGATAGTTCTTTGATCAATCTAGGTACTTCTGATGTCTCCATGGGATGGAGTTAGATGCAGGTTCAAGATAGTTTCTTAAACTCTGTCACTTTGTATACTCATAGTACCATCATCATTGGCCTTCCTTTACACATGCAAAGCTGTTGCTATATATGCAGCTCTAATGGTTTTCCACTAAATTCTACAATTTCCATATTTACAGACTCACAAGCTGTGATTGTTTATCTTAAGCAATACTCATTTCACATATATAGCAATAGCAAACTATTATAAAATGAACTTTGGTTCACTATAGAAAAGATTATTATTGTTAATCACCTTTCTGTCTTTTCTTGCAAAGTTAAAGCACATTTAAAAAATTACTGGAATGATTTTGCCAATTCCTTGGCTGATACTGCATATAATTTAGATTCTGCTATCTTGATTTCTGATATTAATAAGATTTGTGCACATGATTTTGTATTTTACTATGATGATAAATAATTTGTGAATCTAATTCTCAAAAGTTCTTTAAATAACTTTCCAAATGTATATAATGAAAAATTTTTATTTCTCTTGTGTTTCAAATTCATTTACTTCCTTAATGCCAATCAAAACAGTTGTATTAATTGGAACTTATTTTGGCATGTCTTTTCTACCAATCTACAATATAACATAACTTTCATTACAATAAAGCTGTACATCTAATTATACTAAAATATCAGTTACCTTATAAATACTTAAAATGTATATCAATTTTAATTTGTAATATACTTATAATATATAATGTATTGCAAAAAAAACTGGAATTAAAAAATTGATTATAATACCATATAATCTTACCAAATTATATGTGAAATAGCAGGATTTTACTTACTTATAATAAAGATTACCATAAAAAATTAGCCTTTACTAATGATTTTTACCTTACTTTTTTTTTAATTCTATTGGTTAATTATCTAAAAAGAAAAAAATTATAATAATATAATTTTTTTATAATAGAATCTGCAAAAAATTTTATATATGATTTTTACTTTAAGCCTGAAAGTAATCTATCTTATAAGTAAATGGAATCCTAAAATAACTTATTTGAAAAATAACAACTCATAGATTTTATCAATAATAAATTAATATGGAATTTATCTTAGTAATTTTTTAATAATTAAGTTTATAAGGCCAGACAAATTAAATTTTATGTTTTTCATTTTTCAAATCAAATGACTTAATTCAGAAGTAGGGCTCTAATTAGTTCAGTTCAGTATAGTTTTTGCCAAAACTGAAACTGAACCAAATTGATCAGTATCAGTATTGTTATTATTGAAACTGATCAGTTTTGATAATCATTAATACTAAAACTAACCAGTAAATACCAAAAACTAAACTGATTTACCAATTCATTATTGGTTCAGCGTAATGTTTATTTTTTCTTTATTTCTTCGTTAAGTGAGATAAAATGGTCAAAACAAAAGAACTATCAAATTTTGAGCGTGGAAGGATTATTGGTCTTCATGAAGCTGGAGACTCAGAAAAAACAATTTCAAGAAAAACTGGTTATGAAAAGACTACTATCCATAATATTATAACAAAATATCATAAAACAGGTGCTTTAACTGTTGCTTTATGAAGTGGACGTCCAAAAAAATTAAATGAACATGATAAGCGTCATCTTAAATTTGTTCTTACCCAAAATCGTCATGCTTCAGCAGAAAAAATGCAAAAAGAATTTATTGAATCAACTGGAAAAGAAGTAAGCAAAAGTACTGTAAAGCGTACACTGTATGAAATGGGATATCATAGTCGTGCTGCTCTCAGTAAACCTCTTATAAGTGAATCTAACCGACTAATTCGTTTATCTTGGGCTTGTGAAAGACGTTCTTGGACAATAAATGACTGGAAGAAGGTTGTGTGGAGTGATGAATCTAGGTTTACTTTGTTTCAAAGTGATAAAAAAATTCACGTATGGTGTCTTCCAAAGGAAAGTCATGATGTAAGTTGCCTTGTTCTGACCATAAAACATGGTGGTGGTGGTATAATGATGTGGGGGTGTTTTAGCTAGTATGGGTTGAGCCCTCTAGTAAGAATTGATGGTCGGGTTGATAGTGAAAGATACATACAAAAGATCCTTGGCTATCATGTAATACCATTTTTAGAGCAATTTGAAGAAGAAAATGGGAGTATTTTTTTCAACAAGACAACGCTCCAATACACACAAATTTAAAGATACGAACTTTCATGGAAGATGTGATGATAACTCAACTTCCATGGCCAGGACAAAGCCCTGACTTAAACCCGATTGAACACATGTGGGATGAACTTGAATGCTGTATTCGAACAAGAACAAATAGTTCAAAGAATTTGGAAGAATTAGAGTTACTTCTTCAGGAATGCTGGTCACAAATTCAACGTGAAGTCTATCAAAAACTTGGTGAGAGCATGAATCATCGAGTAATTGCAATAATAAAGGCTCGTGGCTATCTTACAAGGTATTGATGATAAAATTTTTTATATAAAATTAATTTTTATTTTCGTTTTTCTTTAAAAAATAATGATTTTTTCATTAAGCAACTTTAGTAATGAGTTAAATTCTTAAATATGCAAATTATGAGCTGGATTTTTTTTATTAAGCTGTACATGACAATAGCTCTTCAATAAGTATAATTTTATATAATAAAACTTATAGAAAAAAATTTCATTATTAAGCTAATTAATTTTATTTATTTTATTAAAAAACAGCTAAAAAAATTGTTAATATAACAAATTGTCTAATAATTTATAAAATATATTATTTAATTGTGAAAAATTATAATTTATTTAATAAAATTATCATATATAATTTTTCAGTAATATATTAAAATACGGAATGATAAAAAAATCATAATTTTTGTTAATTTACTGGGTGGTCCTAAACTTTTGAATAAGTAGTATATATAGTAATTCTTGAATATTTAATCATATTTATATATAGTATTGTTGGCTATAATTATTCATTTATTTTTAAGCTGTTGATAATATAATATATGTTTATTATCTTCATTTTCTTTAAGGTAAAACTTATACTTTGCATCTCTATATAAGTCATATTTTCTTTTTTTTATGATTTTTAATGTTAGAAATAAATAATTTAAAAGTTTCAAATATTTAATAAATCTGTTATTTATTAGTAATATTATACAATTGAGTTTTATATTTTTCTTGAATAATACTAGGTAATCTTTTCTTCTATTGTATTGGTTGTATTTAAAAAGATTAATCTGTATATATAGTTAAAAGACCATACAGAACCCAAAAAATACATATAAAAGTCAGAGATAATTAGCAAAATTTTATCTTAAAATAAGCAAATATTTTTATTAAGATCAATACGCAAAGTTGACTTCTGACTTTATAATTTATATTAGAATAAGCAAATTTTTTTTATGACATTTGTATATTAAAAAAATGAAATCATGGCTTTTTTGTTAATTTAATTAGTTGTATTTAAAATATACTTCCAGTATAATTGATTTTCAATTGCTAGCATAATGCCAAATTGCATAAATTAATTTGTACTGACATATTTATTTATACTACTATATTTAATTATTTGATAATTCAAGTATTAACACTAAAACAAAAAGATTGTTCATTATTTTTTTATAAATTATAACAAAAACTTAGAATATTGATAACATTTTAAAGTTAAAGAAAAGTCAATATAATTTATAAAATCATTTCTAAAAGAAAATCCTATTTCTAAAGAAAAAAAATATTAATACTACTTTCACATATAAAACAAAAAAAATTCCACCCTATTTTCAACTTACTAAAAATTTCAGTTTAGTTTTTAATCTAGAAACCATTTCTAATAGAAAAAACAATAGAAATGTTAATAATACTTCTAAAATAAACAAAATAAAGCTAAAAAATTCTTTACTTACAGTGAGCATTGGAGTTCCAGTCTGAATTTCAAGTTCCTAAGAAAAAAGTAAAAGGAATATTAGTATGGTAATATTTCCAAAAAAATTGACTATACTTTTTCTTAACTCATATTTTTCCAAGATATTGGTATCTAAAATAATAAATTTTAGATTTAAGAAGTTACTTTTAAAGAAAAATAATAAAAAGGAATATTAATAACATTCTAAACCAAATATTTTTTTTTTATTAAATTGTCTTTTTTTTAAAAAAATATAACAGTAAAGGCCAAAAAAAAATTTTTATTGAATAAAACGGTTTGTTACAGACCAAAAAAAATTATTTTATTTTTTCTTTCAATAAAACAGTCTGTTAAAAGTCAAAAAATTTATCTATTATCAATTAGATTAGCCGTCAATTACGTATTTTCAAAAATTTATATGCATAATGCTACTTATTAGGGAATTTCAAGGCATTATGCTGCTAATTAGTAGAAAATCGCCAGAATTTCAAGGTGTTATGCTGCTAATTAGTAGAAAATTGCTGGAATTCCAAGGCGTTATGCTGCTAATTAGTAGAAGACTGCTGGAATTATATATATATATATATTTTATTAAAAAATACCGTTAACTACGCAAATTAAAATATATGACATATATAAAAATGATTGTTATTATGCAAACTATATATATAACCTTTTAAAAAATCTCAAAATCTATGCAAATAAAATTTTATGACTTTTGGAAATTTTACTAATATGGTTAAACAAACTTACTACATGTGACCTTTATATGTATTTTTCGGGGTCCTGACCATACTGCATCTAATTTAAACTCATACAGATTATCTATAAATTTTCTGATATATCTATCAACTCTTTTACCATTTCAGTAAA